CACCATCGCCGCTAACACATCTACCTGCACAACCAACAAAAACCACCTAAACTACCACTACCACCATCACAATGAGCGTCAACACCACCACAACACCTTGATGCCACCACTGTTGAAAACAACAGTAGTCCCAAACCATCACTACCACCACCACAAGTAGCATCAACACCATCACTCATAACACACAAATCAAACCGAATGGCCCTCTTAAAGAAATCATCATTTCCAATACCAATTCATGCCTCCAATTTTCTATTAAAATTTTGAAGAAATCCCATTTTCCTGAAATGATACTTTCTAGAAATATGTAAAAATGGATGAATTCAGAAAATCTGGTCACAATTCCATCAGTGGTTTTTGCAGTCAGAATGAAATGAACTTTCTTAACACCTAGAATCTATTTTTGGACTTTTCTCACCAAGGTTTACATGAAATAAATGCTATCTGAGGTATGCATCCTTATGAAAGCCGCATATTCAAACTCTTTGCTGTTTCAGGATACTATACCAAAACACATCTAGAACCTGTGGTTAAAGTTGGAGAGGAGAAGATGGAGAGAGAGGTTACGATGGAGATGAAGATTTGAGTCCTGTGAGATTTCTTGGAAGAAAATTGCCTTGGTAGAGGAGTGGGAGGTTGCCTATCGAACTTAGATTTGAGGCTTTAGTTAGTAGTTTAGGACGTATTAATTACTTGTTTAAAAGATTTAATTAGATTAAAAGGGTATTAATCAAATTAGTTACTTTTATAGGTTACAAGGCCTAATTTTCCCTTTCAAAATTAAGAACACAGGTTTGAAATTTCAAAAATAAATATTTATTAAAATTTATTTATGATTTAATTAATTATTTATATATTTTATTAATTAAATCTACACAAATTGTTCACAAATTAACGATTTAATTAGTCACATATTATTTTTCGATCACAAATCAAATTTTTTATACGTTACAAATTATTTTATGGTCACAATTTAAAAATTTTATAAGTCATATTTTGTTCATCGGCCACAAATTAAAAATTTATAAGTTACAATTTATTTATCGATCACAAATCACAAATATTATAAGTCACAATTTATTATACAGTTACAAATTATCAATGATAAATTAACAATTTTAGGTCACATATTATTTTTTGATCACAATTTATTATTTTCATTGATCACATTTTGTTTATTGGTAACAAATTAACCAATTTAATGATCATAGTCAAGATCCAGCACCGTCAATAGATGCAACACCGTCACCTAAACACTAGATTGTAGGCACACCAATCATCGCCCGAATACAACAAAATCGCCGCGCAAAACATCAACAAAGTCGTCACCCAACCACCAACAAAATCACTGTCTGCACAATCACCACACCACCACCACTGCCCAACAATGTAACATAGACGATCTACCACTAACACAGATACAACCTAACAAACCAAAACTGAATTACCGCTACCACGATCAAAGCTAATGCCACCAACTCGCCAAATTTGACTTCAAAACTATCTTCAAACCCAAATCCGCCATCAATCCTACAAACACTACCGGTCTACTCACCTTCGCCACCAAACCCAAATCCAAAGCTGTTGCAGCAAAACCACTAATCTACAAATCCAAATCCAAACCCAACGATGATCTACAAAACCAATGATAAAGTGAAGAGAGATTGGGTGGCGAAGTGCGAAGAAGAGAGATGGAGTGACGGAGAGAGATACGAAGGAAGAGACGGGCCATGGCGGAGAAAAAGATGGGAGGCGATAGTGGCACACGAAGGTGGTCCATACTGTGCAGCGGGGTTTGGAGGTGGTCGTTGCTGCGACGGCTATGACGACGATCCATGTGTGGAGGGTAGGTAGATTTTTAGGGTTTAGGATGAAATTTGTATATATAATATTTATTATTTAAATATGAAATATCTGATTTTTGAATAATGAAACATTTATCCTGATTTTAGAATATTGATCTTTAAAAGTAGGATGGGATATAATTTGCACTTAGACATGACTATTCATCAATTGAATTTCAGGCCCACTAATGAAAACTTAGATCACAATTAATAATTTATTTTAAAAACGATAACAGCGAGTTTATATAAGGGATGTGATCGAAATTGATGGAAATGTAAGAACCAAAATTATATACTTTCTATCTCAATGTATTCCATCCTTAAGTTCAATAAAGTAGTTATTGTCTCTCTATAGCTGATCTTGCATCTTTTATTGTGACAAGGAAATTGAACACGATTTGACATATGTTGTGACCTTTAATACGATTGTTCATGTGATTGTCATTGTGTTATCTTCTATTTGTGACCTCTAACATATTTGTTCGTGTCTTTATTTTTCTAAGACACCAGTTATGTATACCTCTATGTGACATAATATTACTGTCTTTTTGACTTTGTTTCCTTCGTAAGCTGTAATGCATATGTATGAAATTGGTCAAATTTGGTATATATGGCACCTTCAAAATAGTGTCAAATTTATAGCGTGTAACTCAGCAAGTGAAAGTTAGAAACCGTGACGCATGGTGTGCAGTGGGACATATGTATTCCTCACAAAGATGTGAAGTATTCAATTGATTGGTTTAATTGTGGTTTCAAGGTCGACATGATTCTTGTGAAAATACAAAATACATAAATAAATTGCTCGATAATTCGGAATGAAGAAGGGAATATGGTTGCAAAAGTGAAACTAACGAGAATAGGGAAGAAAGTTCTAACACGAAAGATAAATTTTCTCTCTTCAAATCACAGCAAAGACGACAAGTTAATTGAATTTTTAAAATTCAACCTCAAGTAATATTAACCTAATTAGGACTCGTGAAAATATAAAATGAATACTTAAAACAGATTTAAATATTTTGTTAATAAATACCTGATTTGTGAAAATGGAAATTTAAAAACATGATTTGGTCTAATTTTCTCATGATTAATTTTCCAATTACCTTGACTAGACCATCAAATAATTTTTCTCATAGATATTCCTTAGAAAGTCAGTACTTGTTTCAAATCTATTTAATTTATAGACATGATCAGTCAAATATACTTTTTCTTATACATATTTAGTGGGACTCAACCCACTTATTTACCACATATTTCTTTCTATTTTTCCTATCATGCATGTTCTTGTCAAAAATTATTTTTAATTTTAGATTCGTAGAGAGTCAATACTTGTTTCATATCTATTTAATTTATAGACATAATCAGTCAAATTTACTTTTTGTTAAACATATTTAGCGGGACTCAACCCACCTATTCACCCCATATTTCTTTCTATTTTTCCTGTCATGCATGTTCTTGTCAATTTTTATTTATTTATTTATTTATTTTTAAATTCATAGAAAGTCAGTACTTGTTTCATATCTATTTCATATATAGACATAATCAATCAAATTTACTTTTTGTTAAACATATTTAGTGGGACTCAACCCACATATTCACCACATATTTCTTTCTACTTTTCCAATCATGCATCTTCTTGTCAAAAAAAATTATTTTTAATTTTCAGATCAATTGTCTAAACATGTAATTTTTCTTGAACAAGGAATGGTTTTATACCGCAAGAAGAAAGCAAACTTTCTCATTCTAATGCCCGTTGATAATATAGCAAGAAATATACATATATTGCATATTTTTCTCTTAATTTTGTCCAAGTTCGTTAATTAAAATGAATTAGATACGTAATCATACAAAAATATTTCACATGTTTCTATTTTCAAAATTCTATTTAATTATGTTGGATTGAATTGAAGTACACGAGATCCTCAAATTTGTTTATCATGGATTTTTATTTCTTAATTTTATGCAGTTAACGTAAGTGTAATTACTTAAGTAACAACATTGTGACTTTCTTGTAGTTTTACAGAATAAAGCCCCTTGTACTATACTCCCCTAACATGAGTGGAGAGGCTCACGTCCAATTAATGTGCGGGCCCGTCCCCATGTGAAGGAGCCGTAAACAAATGCATCCTCACAGGTTGTCAAATAAGAATATTAATACAAATGAATAACGAAATTTCTTAAAAGTTGAAACTGAATAAAATTATTGCCAAATTAAGTGTATGTTTGGTCCCCATTTTTATCTAAAAATGCATTTTTTCCATCAAATCAATGTGGGACCTACACCAATATTTTATCATTTGATTTGAATTTAAAAATCCTAAGTTTCCAACTTTACCCTTTGTCACAAATGCAGGAATTTGGCAGCTTCCACACATTGAAAAGTTAAATGAATTGATTTGCTACACATTTCCCAATACTTCATATCCCCACCAAACATGTTTCAATTATTGTACATGCACGGGGCCCTCCGTCGTCGCCCCCTGTATTGGTTTAAAAGGTTGTCACAGAAATTCGGCAACGATTGTAACATTACGCGAACGGACCGTGATTTTCACTTCATGCTAATTATCGAATTTTTCCAAATAAATTTCGAAAATGAAAAATGATAAAGACCATCTTGAAATTCAATTGTACACTAATTCCAGCGTATATGTTCGTTGTAAATAATAAAATGTTTTTGTACGAAACGGGTTATGTTTTCAAAAAAAGTAACTTCGGAAAATAAAAAAAACTAAAATTTTGAAACATTTCACTGTATCAACTACTCTCGAGAGTGTCTACGAATAGAAGCATTTTAATTTTATTACGAAGCGCTACGTACCAAAAAAATTGAAATCGCACGGTGAACATTTGTTACGCGACGAGTAAAGTGAAGGGTGTGTTCGAAATGAAGGAAAAATACGACGTCAAAGTGAATAATTATTCGTACGAAACACTGTACAACTGCGTAGGTCCGGAGAAAAATTTTATAGTTCATTGTACCGAGGAAAAACATACCGTAAGCACGTTAAAAAAGGGAAATACTTTGACCTATGATACTTTCCTGAATGATAGTCAATAATTGGCCCCTACTGCATTTCACCTTTTACACCCAAGAAAGCAAACATTTTCATAAGACGTACATGCAAGCCTTTTGAATATTTTAAAAACGTATTGGCATCATGGCTGCTGCGCCATATAATCTCGAAGTCTGTCCCACTCACTTCGTTGTATTTTCGGTGAATGTATTTCGGCCTGTGTTTCATCTTCTACGTTGGGAAGCTCCACCTCAGCTACATCTTCATCCACCTCCGCTCTCGTGAACACAGCGTCAACCACTCCTGAACGCCTCATGAAATTATGTATTCCCATCGTCGCAACTACAATGGCTACTTGCGTTCGGAACGGGTAGCTAGGCATGCGATCCAAGATCTTCCACCTTTCTTTCCACACACTGAATGCACGTTCAATGACATTTCTGCAGGACGAGTGCCTGAAATTAAACTTCTCTCGTGCATTTCGAAACCTACGACGACGTCCTGTTCTCTCGTCTCGAAACTGCTGGAAATCGTAAAGTATGTCAGACCCTTTGTAGGGGGCCATATACCTAGGTCGATGAGCAAACCCGGAGTCAACTAAATAGTACTTTCCCGGGGCCGGTAATGGGAAATGTATTTTCGGATCATGGATAGCACGTGCTAGCATGCACGCATCATGTGTATTGCCAGAGTACCCTGCAAGCGCGAACGTAAAGCATAAATTAAAGTCACAAGCAGCTAACACGTTCTGTGTCAGCATACCTTTCCGCCCTATGAAGTTTACATGATCATGTAGCGGTAACACAGCTTCTACATGCGTTCCGTCAATAGCTCCGATGCAATCTTCAAACAATGGATGCTTGCTCAGATATGGCCTTTCTGGCTCGACACCGTCGTTGTAGTTCTCACTGGGACGAATCATGCGCGCTGAAAGCGCAACGACCGCACGTAGAACCTCTTTAATGTAGTGACATACAGTTTCCAATGAATAGTTGGAAAATTGTTGTCACCTGTCGATATCCCTTCCCGTGCGCTAATATACATAAGAACATGCCAACTTGCTCGTAGGTGTCAACATGCTGGTTTGTACGTAGCCCATGCTCATCGCGCAACACATGAGCCAAATGTCGAAGCATTGCAGGATACATACGGAATTCTTGAAAGCACATCTTACTATTCTCGCCCATGGCCTCCATCATGAACATGTGACCGTTCCTTGAGAAAGGAAAACGTCGTATATGTCGCTGTTGCCTGTAGTGATATTTTCTTGCGTCATCGCCGGCGATTCTGCAGTGTGAAAGCCAAGCGGTGGCATCGATCGCCAAGTTGTAGAGAACCCGGTCGTCATCGCATTCGTCATCTGAGTCGGACCCCAGAACGCAGTTGAAGTTGACGTCAGTTGTGACGCAACACATGATCAATTGGTAAAATTACACAACAGTAGCGAGATATGGACTTCTGTGGAACGCAAGTTCGTCTCACATCCTCAAGCTACACATTTTTTTCCTTTCTACTGCGTGCATGGCTTTTTATAGAAAGTGGGAATGACTGGGAGTACATTCTGTGCAACGGTGTACTATAGCTGTCAATTTGGACGCACTGTATCAATAATTGTGCACTTCCAAAAAATATTCAAGAGATTCTGTGCAACAGTGTCATATAGCTGTCATCTTGTAGGAAATGCACCAATAATGGTGCACTTGCAAATAATATTTTCTCGTGAAATGTGATTTTCTTTAGAAAATCTTTTTGTTCTGATCCAATCTCTCCTAACTAACTTTTCGTGACAGTTTTTCAAATTTCACAGGTTTTAAGTGTAAACAATTTTTTTTAACGTCCAAACTTTTCGCGTGCGTATATGGTAACTTCTCAAGGCAAGATCGTGGAAAATATCATTTTACAAGCAGTTTGACCTGAAATGTTGCACATGTAAAATATTAACACGATGAAATGATCATGGTGAACAGTCTAAAACGGTTTGCACATCACAGGCACGCAGCGCATTTACATACAGTACTTTTAAAAGGATACAGACAGTTGAGTACGAAAGGGAAACAGTTTTTCGTGATAACACACAAGTAAATGTAACGCGTACAGTGAAATGTGAAATTACTTGCCCTTCTCATTGAAGAGCCACTCAATCCATTCAAATTTCTTATCCAAATCTTTCATAACGGCGAGCATGCTTCGGTAATGTTTTTTCGCCAAAATAGCACAGGCGAAAAAGTATAGAGTTGTATGTCGTTCTAGCCGTCCAGCCGCCAGTAGCTCCTCTATATAGGCAGTGCCGGTGTTGTAATTTGAGCCCATCATGGTATTAAGCTTCACCACCACTTCCTCCGCGGCACTTGTGGCTCGGTCGACGGAGAACGATCTCGCGTGCAGATGTTTTTTTCTTCTTACCCTGTCGCGTCGCACCGGACGACTTTCTTTTACCACAGCTTGTGGTGTCGGATACGTTTAAGCGGGATCCATCGACCATTTGCTTAGCCTCGTCACTTGAACCACTACTTTCCTCGTCGATGGGGATTGCATCCCAAGTGTCTTCGAGCGCACTTTCCTCAAACAACCCGAACCCCGTTCGGCACAACTTAGTCCGCGTGACCGCGTACTTCTCCCCATCGTAACTGTCGCCAAAAAGTGTACGATAGCGAATGTATATCTCGCTCACATCCTTGTTTTTGAACTCCCTGTAGTCTTTATTCTCCTGCGAAAAGAGGGACAAAAAAGAGGGAAGATACGAAAAAAGGCATTCCAAATGTACTGAAAAATACTGAACGGGATTGTTTGGTTACATATTGTGAAAAATGTGTGCTGCGAATTGAAATAGTTACCCTTATTTTTATATTCCACCATTCCTCTGATGCGACGACTCGACTAGTGGATTCGTTGTACTCGACCCCGCTACCCTTTAATAGATCGAAGAGACGTTTGTAGGTTCGACGCATGGCGTCCCAATGGTTGCGCAGTTGTTACTTTGTCCAATTGCACCCAGTGGCTGAGTTGAACAGCGTGGAGATTCGGGCCCAACCTTGTTTCGTAAAACACCGACCGCTGCGATGGCCTTCGGCAATAGCGGTCTCGCAGGCTGCAATTAATGTTTGGGTCTCCAAGGCATTCCACCGAGCATAAGATTTTGCACCTGAGGCTTGACCGAACTCCTGTGCAACGAACGAGCTGGGTGGCGAGCCATGTCCACACTGCAAAGACAAGCCAGCCATCACGCAAAAAAAAACATTTTACGTTAATATTCATTAAACGCATTTGAAGTCTGTAAAATAGCTACAGATTAAAAATTTGAACTTGACAAGAACGTACACGTAAAAGATGTTGTGCAGAAGTTCAATTTGGAAACAGACGAATGAACGATGCTATCATTTTAAGGGGGAATGCAGAGAGCACAAGCGCAGGGGTTTAACAAAGACTATGTTCCAGAAATTGCATAAAACATTCTAGTCTCAGTTTATGGTATTATAGGTCAAGGGACAGATTTCTTAGAAGAGAATACGGCCAAACAAATACTTTGGAAAAATGGGTAGCACAATGCATATGGCAGTTGAGATGCGAAACCAGAGGCAGGTGCATTTCGAATTGCCACAATATCAATTTTGCCCAAAATCATACGCCAAAACATCCAATGAATTTGATAACTACATATAATTACAGGTTAACAAATACACTACAAACAATTGACTCCTACTTCGAAATAAATGGTGGCGCAATGCATAAGGCAGTTGAGATGCGGACCCAGAGGCAGGAAAATTTCGAACAGCCACAATATCAATTTTGCCCAAAATCATACTCCAAAACATCCAACGAAGTTGATAACTACGTATAATTACAGATTAACAAATGCAGTAGAAACAATTTAATCCTACTTCGAAAAAAATGGTAGCGCATTGCATATGGCAGTTGAGATACGAACCCAGAGGCAGGTGCATCTCGAACTGCCACAATATCAATTTTGCCCAAAAGCATAGTCCAAAACATCAAACGAAGTTGATTACTACATATAATTACAGTTTAACAAATTAACTAGAAACTATTTGAACTCCCTGTAATGTCCGTAAGTTGTTGTTTTACGAACAAGTAGACGAAATCAGAGAAGTTCGTGTTCGACAACCTACCGGTGTGCGGGCGGGATCCATGTGGTCGGCGGCCTTTCGGGTGCGGAGGACGTCGCTAACCGGACGGACGACTGGGATTATTCGACGGCTTTCTCGGTGGTGCGTGCGTCCTTGAAAACTGTCTGGGTCTTCGGAGACTGGAAGTATTGTCATCTGGCTGCTGCAATTGAAGGAAACCCACCGTCAATTTCAGTTCGTGGTCGGCCGCTTGGGTCTGTTGTCAGTCGTCGGCGGTTTTAGAAGACAGGTAGCCTTTTCGTTTGGGGAGTAACGGCAACAAATGGAAAGTGTGAAAAAAAAAGGTTCCCAGGGGTTGCACATGGGTTGTCAGATGAATTAGTGGCAACGGTCAAATAATTCATTAAATGGCAAAATTAATGGCCAACAAACAGGCCCTAATTGAACTTTTTAATAGAATATTCATAAGCTATGTGTTGATAAGAGGATAAGAATGCTATCCTATTCATTGCATGTTCTGTCAACCAATAAATCAATATTTGACCGATAGGTCCCATTAGACCAATGATTTATTGATTATGAGTTATTGAATTTAGGGTTTTGCTTGGTGTATACAATTTTTTGTACATTAAAATATCTTACATTCATATGAGATGGGACCTGCTTGAAAAGCATATAAGAATGCTATCCTATTCATTGCATGCTTTTATTCTGTCAACCAATAAATTAATATTCGATCGATAGGTACCATTAGACCAATTCCTAGGGTGGTTGATTGATTGATTACGAGTTATTGAATTTAGGGTTTTACCTGGTTTATACAATTTTTTGTACATCAAGATGTCCCACAGTCACATGGGATGGGGCCTACAAAAAATTATGTACAAATAGTGTTATCCTTGAATTTATAAACAATTTTTTTGGCTGTGATCGGCTATGAAATTTAAAATAAAGTAGAAAATATTTAAAGTTTCATCCTCAAATTTCTCGATGTAATTGGAACCAGCCTGATCCAGTTGGTTCGATCGGTGAAATCGAGGAACTAGACCGAAAGTCGGGCAAGTTGAGAAAAAAATCTTCCAAAAAGCTATTGACCAGCTGTTGACCAGTTTTCGATTTCACCAATTTAAATTTAAGAAAATCGCCCAAAAACCAATCTTTTATTTATTTTTTTATTTTTTTGTAAATTTATGTTTTCATTTTTTTTTAAAAAAAAATTATTGGGTAGATCCCGATTTGACCTAGTTTGACTGTTCGATCTCTGATCCTTTATATTTTCAGGTCGATCTGTTTTAAAACATTGTTTATTCTGTAACTTATTCCTTGTTTGAGCCTCATTTTGGGGGGGGGGGGGGGGGGAGAAAATAGTAAATTCATGGAGAATTTGTGATTAAAATTCATTTTGGGGGGAAAAGAATACATTTTGAATAGTAAATTCATGGAGAATTTGTGATTAAAATTAAGGAAAAGTCTTGAATTTGATTGTAATATTATTTTATTGAAAAATGTGTAGTTAAAATAAATTTTATTTTTAGAAGAATGAGGCTCAAACAAGAGTTTAGTGATGTTAATGCATTCTTCAAAGAAGAAATGTTAATCATGTACATTAGTTAATTAATGCGCGTTTAGAATAAGCATAATGTTTAACACACTAGCACTTTATTTATTTTACCGTATTAAAATATTTCCACAACTCAACGTGCTGGGAAAATATATACTGTTCCAGCCTATCCTAATGGACCAACCCTATTTTTCTTCTGTACTTTTTTTGTTAATTTATTATTATTGTAATTTAAAAATATTAATCAACATGTAAGATCTCGTGACTAATCCTAAAAAATTCACTTCTTTTTACAAATAGAATCTTAATACTCAAGAGTCATGAATATGCATGTTTTGGAAGTTTAGAAAATTTATACTAACAATTCGTTTAAAACTCAAATAAGAAACCGAATTTCAATTTTAGAATCCTGAAATGGGTTAAATTCTGCAAACCTTGAATATGGAAAATAACAACTAACGTGTTCAGATGGTTTTGTTTATTTTCTTAACAATGTTGATATTTTAAGATATAATTAAAAGATTTAGCACAGTTTGGTGGGGATTAATATCAGATTTTTAGTAGATTTTGATTTGATAAAAATCGATGAAATGCGTGGTTAAAAAATTGTGAATCTTATAAAATGTGTGGTTAAAATTAATTATTTTCTTAAAAATCACTATTTAAAACTTTACTTTCCCCAAATAATAATTGTCAAATAAGGGCTTAGTCTTGCAATTAGAATACTCTTCTTTACATAATTTTTTCTTCATCTAGATAGGTATAAGATCTATGGGACAACTACTACATTTTGTGCTATAGTCATTCCTATCTGATGCAAAAGGGTTGACATTATTGATTTTAGATATAAAGAGTAACATACAAAGATAGAAGCAAGCAGTGCGAAAGGGAAAAAAAAAAGAAAAAAGAAAAAAGGAAAAATCCCTACCTAACCCAATCTATTCCTTCACCTAGCAACGGAGTTTATAACTATGAAATTTGGTGGTTGGTGGAGTTTTGAGAAAACCACTAAACGGAGGGTTGTTCTTACTATTGTGACCTGATTTATTTATTTGTAACAAAAATCGAAATTTCTTATAAATCGATTTATTTTTGTCTTGAAAAAAAAATAATATCTTATTATATTTTTAGAGAATATTTTTTTACTAATATCCATATTGTAAACACCTTTGTTCAATTTTGTATCATCTAGGAATTTTACTTTGGTCCATAAAAATACTTGTAAGAGGTAAAACTTTTAGGATTTTAAACTTCAAGAGATTTTTAGCTAATCCATTTTTTTCTTTATCTTCTCGATCACACATTTTTCAATAAAATAATACTATACATAAATTTAAAATTTTTTCTTTTTTTATTAATCACAATTCTTTCAAAAAAATATTATTGCAAAAGTTATAATGTCAAATAATGGATCATATGGGATGATAGTTACGATAACTTAGCGCTCTAATGGACCAACCAAATAATTGTTTCTACCTTTCGGCTTTTATATTGGATGAGGGCCGTCAAAAATGAAACTCCAGGCAAATCATTTGATGGAAGGTATCATATTTAATTAAAAATAAAACTCTAGGCATAGTCCACGTTTGAGATCCATTATTTCTCATTAAATTAAATTTTTCTCTCTTTTATTTATAACCACACAATTTTTAATAAAATAATATTACACGTAAATTAAAAACTTTTCAATCACTTATTTTTCAAAAAAATATTATTCATCTCATTATAATTTATAAATAATGAGGCTCAAACGGGACTATATTGGGAACACAAACCATGTAATCAATAATAGTGTAAAATAAAAAAATTAATAATGTAAAATGTATCCCACTTCGTACAAAAAGGTATTGAAGTTACATAACTACTACTAATTTTTAATTTCATTCAACTTTACAGATGAATTGTGTATATATAGTTAATGTCTCTGCAAGTGCAGAATCCAAAGGGTCTGGGCTCTCAAAACTAGTTATCGATGCCTTCTCTCAAAAGCGTAGCTAAGGTAGCTTACCCTTACTATTCTCCTCCACCACCATCACCATCACCATCACCATCACCCCCCTCTGCCATGTAATCCTACTCCACCGCCTCCATGCAATCCTCCTCCGCTGCCACCTCCACCTCCGCCATCTGGTCCACCACCTTCTCCTGTTGCTCCATTTACATTCCCTTGTGATTGCCAACGTTGTGGTTGTGGACATCATCATCATCCACCCAGTGCTTCACCACCATATCCCTCGCCAACTCCTGGCGGCCCAATTCCACCAAAAACTCCTCCAGGTCCAGGATCACCCACACCAACAACTGGTAAACCACAAACCCCAGCTTACCCACCATATTATTCAAACCCGCCAACTCCTACCAAGCCTGGCGGTCCAGTGTCCCCACCAGGAGGTCCAGGAGTACCCAATACGCCGCGAAATGTGGGGCCTATGGCACCTTCACTGAACGCCCCTTTTTCGCCGCCGTCAAACCCTCTCGTTCCACCGCCCTCAATTCCACCGTCTCCAGGTGTTGGCAACGACCACACAACCATAATTGCGGCGTGCGTTTCTCTTGGTGGTTTATGTTGGGAATTTACTTAAACATGCACAACGGAATTTAACAGATTTCAATTCCCATTCAGGATTCAGCTTTGTATTTAGATAAAAACTGTGATGAGAAATATACCTTTTGTGTGATTTGCAAACTCTTTCGCTTTATCCCTTTCCAGCAGCTTGAATCTGCCTCCCACAGCTGTCCAATCGTGCAGCCTCCAATGAAATCCACACAGAGAGAAAACAGCAACTGCTAGGGTTTCTTTCTTGTGCTAGCAAGAATAATGAAT